ACGTCCAGAACAGTGCTGTCTACAGGTTACCGTCTGCTTGCAGCTGAAGGGAGAGGAGACGGGGGCAGGAAGGTGACACTAAAAGCTGTGAGGTTTCTTCCTGAGGCGACAAAGACGTTTTCAGATAGACCGCTGCTGCTGCACGTCTGTGAATGCACTAGACTTTGCGGAGGTGCACATTCAAACAGCTGACTTGCGTGGGACGTGAACTCTACCCCAACAAGGCTGTTAAAGACTTTACCTTCAAGGTCACTAAAAACTATCTGGAGAAGAGCAGACCATGGCTTCTGGCTGTGAGCCCTGCACTCACGGGCAGCACTGGACAAGAGCGTGGCCCAGCCCAGGATGGCAGGAGCTGAGACAAAGCCCTCCTGCACCCAGCGAGCCCCCTGGCTCCTCCTTGGCAGTTTAGCGCTGGGAACACGCCGTCATTGTGGCGGCCAACACAGCAACGCGACACGCAGTGCGTCTGCACACCCTGGGAGAGGTGAGACGGAGATACCACTGGGGACTCACAGAGCTCACCTTAGGAAATAGTAACAAGGATGGCCAAGGCCGTCTTATTACTAAGATCAACACGAAGCAGCACATGCTGCTCGGGAAGAGACGGGAACCTCAACAGGGAGGTCTTTGGGCTGAGCTTCTCTGTATTTTCACTGAACCAAAATATAAGCATCTCAAAAATAACTAAAAGTCAAAAATTTCCCTAAGTTAAAAAGGTCCCTTCAATATCAACTAGGGATTCTACACAGTGCCAGTGATCTGTAACTACCAGTGTGCAGGAGCCAGTGCCCACCCCCACCCAGACAAACACACGTGCACTTGAACCTGAGGTTAGAAAACTCTGCTACAGGGGAGAAATCAGAACACTCTTGAAGTAAGGATGTTAACCCAATCTATGTTTTGATTGAATTTGAATGAATTTCCTTCATTCCACACACAGTTACCAAGTGGCACTATCCACACACCGACGACTCAGCAGTGCGTCAGTAAAGCCTGGTCTCCAAGAACCTGCCTTCCAGGAAGGAGGAGAGAGGCAACAGACAAGCTCTGGGACAGGGAGTGTCTCCACCAAGCCCTGCCTTCTGTGCTGGTGACACAGACCCAGCCGTGGGTCCCTGTGTGCCCTGGGACTGCCGCCCCGCACTGCGAGGGTGCACCATCCCACAATGGCAGCCACCATCAGACCACAACCTGTGCCTCTTAGTTCAAATATAAAGGGTGGAGGATGGCAGAGCCAGAGTGTCATCAGCAGGACCCCAAGACCCGAGCTCTACTGCCCACCTGCTGGGCCCCACTGACCTTTCTCCCTGAAGCTCTTCTTTCCCCAGATCTCCTCATTCAGGCAAAAGCCCAGAAGGTAAGCAGCCTGCGATGGAAACTCAAACTTCCTCTGAGCGGTAATGGCAGCCTGGGCAAAAGGCTTTGGGGGCCCAGACCACCCTGACCAGTGTGAGGTCGACCCCTGACTCACGCCTGCGCAGACGCACCACGTAGCGACCCACGGAGCCACCAACAGTTACCCTCACCTCAGTGTAACACTAACCCTCCGTCCAAGGAGGGGTGTCTATATAACAGGCAGCGTGTGTGTCCATGGGTGTCCCCAAGGCCCGTGTGTGACCACATGGCTGCCTCGACACGGATGCCAAGGCTCGCCTCTGTGAATATTCCATCCGAACCCTAAATAACAGGAAGCCAGCTGCCCTCACTCGGGGCTCACGGCTTCGAAAGTTATTTCCCGGGATCTCCTTATTTGCTGCAAATAAAGTCTCCTTAGTGTGACGACTCATCTAGTGGAGTCCCTATGTATGACTCAGCAAGCGTGACCTCACATCAGTCTGATCACCAGTGGTCAGGGAGCAAGCAGTGGTGGGTCTGTGATGGGGCCCCAGGGGCAACCAGCCTTTGTCTCTGGATCTTTTGCATCTTTGGAGCTATGGCTCATGGGAGGCACCAGGGAGAATGGATCTGGGCAAGTCACACAGAGGGCTATGGGGGAAGCACGCCCCCCCCCCCCCCCCCCCGGAAGGCCCTGCAGCTTGCTCTGGAGCAGGCCCCACAAAGCATGTCACCTAACAAATGAGATCAGCCCACTGCTGGGAGATCCTAGAACTTTACAGAGACAGTCATCTTTCCAGATGCACCCCTGATCCACTGAAAGCAGCAGCAGCCGTGGTAGACTATATACAATGGCCACAAATTCTGTGGCACCCCCGTATCAGGGTACCTCTACTGCCTCTCAACCCTCCCCCCTTGAATCTGGGCCTGCCTGGTGGGCTGTAATGACCAGTTAAACTTGGTGGGAGCTACGAGACATGAATCCCAAGCTTCCAGGGACCTAACAGCTTCTACTCTTGAGAACATTTCCATCCCCAGCTCCCTGGAAGGTGATATTCCTCATGCAGAGAGGTTCTAGCTGGGGTACCACACCGTGGTACGCCCTTCAGGCCAGCCCAGACCAGAAGACCCTCCCAAGCCAGCACTCAAACATGCAGGAAACAGAAGATACTTGTTGTCTGAACTATGAGGTTTTAGAGTGGTCTTTTATTTAACAAAACCAACTGACAGGGTTGGAGGACCGGGTCCTCGGAAGCTGAATACAAATGACTCATAAAAATGTACTGAATTTTAACTCTTCCTAAAAGGCATGCATTAGTGGGGAACATCATTCAAAAAGCACCCCAGCCAACTCAGGGTATGTGGCAGCAATGTGAGTCTTCAACTTGCGGCGGCTCCGACAGGCTCACCGGACGATCACATCTGCAGGCAAGTGCAGATGACGGTCCCGTCTGACTGACAGAAGCAACTCCAGGGGCCAAGAGCAGGCTTCCCCAAGATGGGCCACTGTGGCATGAACATTATTTTGAGTTAAAAGTAGTAAAAACCCAGCAGATTCAGGAAAAGCTCTTCACTGCCCCCTCAACTACTTGCCTGTACCAGGAAGAGAGCTTTTAACAGAGACTCTTCAACCAAGGCACTCGTCTCCGTGACAGTCAAGCCCCATTCCCGGACATCTCCTCTCCCCTTCCTGTCCCACACCCAACCCCTCTCCGGAGCTCACGTCGGCTTCCTGCCTGTGTCAGGAATTTCCATATCTGGATTCCCTGTACAAACGCTATTAAGTTTGATGTTTGCCAGTTGATCGTCTCATGTAGATCTCATATGTAGTCTAACCAAACAGATCTTAAAAGGACCGAGGAAATCCTTTCTCCCCGACACAATAATCTCAACCTACTGCAACTCTGAGAAGTTCTAAATATGTTGAAACCTTTACAAAATGCCCCTCTGATTGCTGACGAATAATGCAATCCAGACACTTAGTGACAGTGTGTTATCTCAGAGAAGGGCTGTGTTATTTATGACTTCACAATAAATATGTGCTTTCTTCATTTTTGGGCCCTGTTTTAGTTGATAAAGACTATTAAGCACAGTAAAGAAGATGCTCTGAAAGTAAGCTCTAAATAGCTCAGTTTTCCTGTTCTTTTCTTGCCTCCCCTCCCCTCTGTTCTTTCTCTTGAACATTCTGAGAGTGTTAGAAGCACAGACCATAATGGGCGTGTCTATCAGAAGATGGCTCCATGGTGGGAACTCTTGAGAGCACTGGCTGGAGAAGACCCGGGAGCCCAGCTAACCCTCCCTGCACACCTTTAGCCCATTTCCTGCAGGTGACTCATCAAAGAGCACCGTGGGGGCTGGGAAACGCTGCCAAAGATTGCCCACAGTCAACCGCCAGTCTTCAGCATTCAGAGGCTGCCCGTCTTGGACTACCTTCCCCACAAAGGCTGCCCTGGCAACACGGGAGTGACCTGGGAGGCTGGACAGACAGGTCCTACCAGTTTGAATTACTACTGCCCTGAAGAAGTGTGACTCACTTTCCTCCTCAGGTAAGACCTTAAAAGAAGCGTTCAGGGTCCCCTGAGTTCAGACACTATGAATCTACACACTAGACACTTCCCATCAAACACTCAAGCAAGAGAGGCTGGTATGCCTGGGACCCCCAGGCCAGAGGACTGGGGGACAGCCCTGACCTCCAGCCCCCCCCCCCACTGACCCCCTCCCCTTCACTTTTCCCATGCAATGCATTCTGCAATTAGGCGCCACCAGAGCCCAGAGGAGGTTTCCCTTAGGGTCCTCACAGCCTGGCCCCCAGCTTGATAATCTTAGTTTCTGTGTAGCATCCTGTCTTGACAGAAATTTCTAAGCAGAAATAAACCTCCTGCTAAAGTTTAAATTGATTCTCTTGTCCTTCCTTTTGTGACACTAAGGGCAGAAAAAACATCTTAAGATATTACTTTAAGCCATTATGAAAAAATCAGAAGAGAGAATATATTTATGCAATACATATAAAAACTAATTTTTAAAAAGTACACTTATCCTAATACCATTTAAAAAAAAATCAGTGTTTTCTAAAGTATTATGTGGGTCTAAGAAGTACTGCTTGGATATATATACACACACACCTATGTAATACATTTATACAATTTTGCTACATTCAATCGTTTTTGCCAACATTATCAGTGCAATCTATTCTGTATCTGCTGATACAGAAAAACAAACTCTATGTTAAGGTGTAGTGCCATCTGCGCGCCAGGCTCTTTGCACGGTGCGCGCTCCATCCTCGCCGCAGCCTGAGAAGGGGCGACTACGCTCACTGCCACGGTGCAGGGAGGCGCTGACACACACTGGGGCCAGCTGCCCCCCTCACCCAGGCAGACCTGGGCAGAGGCCAGATGGGTCCAGTCCGTGCTCCACAGCCAGCCAGCCTCTCTCAAGAAGAGCAAAAGGGCTGTGTTGTATCAGGACTTCAAAGGAAAGACAGGAGAATATCACTCTCCAAGTAAAAGGAGAAACTCACTGTTTACAGGGATCTTAGTGTTACCAACACCACCCTTGGTCAGCTTGATAAATAGGCCAAGTCCGATCAGCAAAATGGAATGTGGCTCATAACACTTGGCTTTTAGAAAGTATAAGGAAATATCTCCAAATATCACACTTCTTACCTCAATGTCAAATATTTCCACGGTGTTGTCCAGCAGCTTCACTCGGATGTGAAGGTGCTTCTCCTGCGCTCTGGCTGATGCCCGTGCCGCTGGTGCCAAGACAGTCTGCCCAGGCTCGAGGGTGCTCACTCCCCCTGGGGTCTGGGCGCCCAAGCGTGTCCCTGGAGTCTGCAAGACTCTGTATGTTCCTTCTATCTCCCCCATTCTTCACCGGCTAATGAAGAGCGCTCTAAAACAAAACAAAAAACCCCAAAAAGTCATCGACAGTTATTTAGGTGTTGAAAAAAAAAATCAGGTGCACAGGAATTCTCCACTCTATTTTGCAACTTCTAGGCATCCTGAATTACATTAAAGCAATGAGTTAAACAAGATTACCTTCTACTCACACATGGGTTGGTGGAGTGTAAAACAATAAGGGCTGTTCCCAAAGACGCTAGTTCTGGTGCTTCTGCAAGCCAGGAGCGTGTCAGCTCGTGTAGCTCACAAAACCTCATCCAACAGGCGCCCATACCTTTGTCCGGCCGCCGGGAGCCCCCGGCACATCCTTGGGCTCCAGCAGCCCAGAGAGTTGCTGTGCTGCCGGCACGCTGCTAAGTGACAGGTGGTACATTTCTGCAAAGAGGGGCAGGTGCCACACAGCAAGTGCAGTGCACGCTGGGCACCATTCGGCAGGCCATTCCCTGTGCTGAGTGAGGACAGTGCAGGCTGGTCTGGGCCAGCTTTGTGCTCCCTGATTTTGTAAGTGGTGTTTCACCAGGCTGGATGGAGGCCGTCAGGGTGGTGTGAGGACTGCGCGCCTGGTGTGAGGGGCACTGGCTCGAGGCCGTGCCCTTCCCAGCAGTGCTTACCTGTCCTCAGGGCGTCCCTGTACCCACCACCCGCTGAGCAGACACAGGGGGCCCAGAGAGGCACTTGTGCCCTTTCCAATCCTGTGTCTCTAGCTTCAGGCCAGTAAGCTCAATGGGGCGAATCACGTCACTATTTTTACAAAGAAAGAAGAGGCTAAGTATCAGCTAGAATCTAATAATACTGGCTTGCTTTCCTTTATATTAATCTAGCTACTTTCTATTTATGGCAAATCTACTTCTTAAATATGTGTATTTATGTTTGAAAGTCAACGTAGAGAAAAATCTTAAGCAGCGAAGCACAGTATGGCAAAAAACACCAGCCATTTACTCCAGAAAGGGTGGAGCTGCTGGGAAAATGATCCACCTCACTCCCTCATCTCTGACAAGCCTTCTGCTGATGTGCGGGACCTTCCATAGAGAATTAATCTACATTTCTAGTCCATTCCCTCGTGCGCCAACCTAACCATTGGCTCCCCTGCCCTTCCATCCGCTCCGTGCTGTTACCAGGAAGACCCGTCTCCTGATGTTTTGTCCTTGAATTAAGTTTGAAAGCTTCTCAGTCACCCGCTGAGCAACCTCTCCTACACTGAAACCCTACCCAGCAAAGACAAAGTCTCCAGCCCACGTGGGTGAGAGCTGCCACACACATGTGATCTATCGAACCAGGGGGCAAGGCACAAGAAAGCTAAAACGGAGCTCCCGCGACAGTGAACTGGGAACGGCATGACAAAGCGATGAGGTGGTGTGTCGCTCTCCCAAATACACATTCGGCCCACTCCTGCACAAGGACAGACAGCTCCTCGTGCACAGGCACACTTCTGGTTCAGGTTAGCAGTTACCTGCCATTTCTGAATTCCCTCTCCAGGTTTATGTGCCCTGACAGCAGGAACCAAATTCTTACCGTGAACGTTTGCTAAGCATGTACTTAACTCAGAGCACTGGCATCAAGGAGCACGAGCTGCCTGTCAGGCAACGTACCGTACAGACCTCAGGAGCAAAAGACAGACTGGTCACAAACAGACCATGCTGGAAAATCACTAATATTCATGCCACTGATATTAAACATGGGATCAGATTCTGATCAATTCACAGATGTGAGTAGTTAATGCAAATGCGAGGGGACACCCGTGAAGACACCACCTGTAAGGTGTCTCCATCGTGCACACAGATGAGTCAAGTCCTTGGTCAGCTCACAGCATTTACTGACCCGGAGGCATGGAGAGCAGGCCCTTCTGAGACAACTACGGGGCGTGTGACCCTGGGCATCAAAGTGATCCTCCCCCTTGTAAGTAAAACTACCATTTTGAAAATGTGTGTACCACCAAAACATATTTCAACAACTCACTTATTTATTCCACTATACGTTCTCATGTAGATTTTTTTCTTAATAGTTTTAGATGGAAAAAATTTCTTCAGGTTCTTTATCTTCTACTCATTGTAATAAGAAAGTGCTGTCTAAACACATACTTCTAAAACAAAACAGGCAAGACTTACCCCCAGTGTGCAGAGGGGCACATCTGGGTGAGCACGCTGCCAGAAGAGCACGCGAGGAGATTCGTACTAGAAAACTTCTCTTGGTGGGAGGGCTTCTGTCTCTGGGATAAGGTTCCGGAAGGACCCCCTGGCATGGTCAGCATGGTTACATCGCTTGACTGGACCATATTCACTTTATAATCATTAAGCCATATACTCGATTGATACGGTTTTTCTAGATCTGTTTATTTCTTTAACAAACACATTTTATTTTTTTAACAAACACATTTTAAACAGCATACTGTTAGCATTATTTCACCTCTCCCAAGAGCAAAAGAAATATTAGACAAGTGGAAACCACTTCTTGGTCCACAAGAGGAGATCGTGCAGGTCTCTGTGCCTTCTGAGCAGCAAATGTACATCTTAGTTATTTTCATCTAGTCCAAAGACCTCAACGTAGCATAAGCTAAGATGCAGAGCCATGAGACACACTCGTTCTGGAAGGTCGTTGAGGAAATGACCCCGAGGTACCCCACTGCTTATGTTCCAAAGAAAAATATGGTTGCTACTACCTAATGGTATGTGGCATCAATTACACATTTAATAATGACTTGGCTTTAAGTTTGAGAAACCTTAGGAAGCAAGGAACTTAACAGAACACCGGTGTAGAACCCCAGTGCCGTCAGCTCTGCTCTCAAGGCCCGCCAGTCTATTGGGGAATATGCCGTGTAGCCAGACTCCTCTGGTAGATACGTGGCGTCACCCATTCAGCAGTCCTGTGGCACCACCGGCTGCCTCCTCCAGCTGACCACGGGAGAAGATGAAAGGAAAAAACGTATGCACGGAATGAATCTGAATCTGTTTTACGTCAGTTATGACCTAACAGAAATTACTTTGTTTTGCCTCGTGTGCTTCTAAATAAACATTTAAAGGGCAAGAGTACACAAGACAGACGAGAAACACAGCAAGGCCACTAACAGCCCCCGACGCATGAGGTGTTCTGCAGTCCTCGGAGCCCTAAATGTCAGATGCCAGCCCTGCTCACTTCTGCTGCTACCAGAGAGCCTCCCCAGAAATCCAGACAGAAGCAGGGGTGTGAAGACCCAGGGCCCTACAAGGCTCCGGATTATTTTCTCATCTTCCGTCCACATGAATGAAATGCTCTGCAGATTTCACTCCTAAAAATATTTCTGGTAGCTGGACACAATTTCCACTACTGACACTTAGTGCTACCTACTAGAAACTCAGTTCCTACATACTTATTTTCATTTAATAAAAACATTAAAAATTTAAAAAAATTTTTTTTTAAATTTATTTTTGAGAAAGATGGAGTGTGATTAGGGGAGGGGCAGAGAGAGAGATGAAAACACAGAATCTGAAGCAGGCTCCAGGCTCTGAGCTGTGAGCACAGAGCCTGATGTGAGGCTCGAACCCACAAACCATGAGATCATTACCTGAGCCGAAGTCAGCCGCTTAACTGACTAAGCCACCCAGGCTCCCCCCCTCCATTTTTAAAAAATCTTTATTTATTTTGAGAGAGAGAGAGAGAGAGCAAGTGAATGTGAGTGGGGGAGGGGGAGGAGAGAAAGAGCAAGAAAGAAAGAGAGAGAGAATCCCATTAAAAACTTTAAAAACCACCTTGTGATATATTGCCATCTTGAAGTTGGAAAGATTCAGCTCAAAAGTCTGTCCATTTGGGTGCCTGAGTGGCTTAGTCAGTTAAGTGTCCCACTATGAATTTTAGCAGGTCATGATCACATGGTTCGTGGAGACTGAGCCCCACATCTGGCTCTGTGTTGACTGCTGTTGACAGCCTGGAGCCTGCTTGGGATTCTCTCTCTCTCTCTCTCTCTCTCTCTCTCTCTGTCCCTCTCTCTGTGCCCTTCTCCCACTCACGGTACTCTCTCCCTCAAAATAAACAAACGAACAAAAAGTCGGGCAAGCATGCGTGACGACACGTCAATGTAGGTTGTAACAGATGTGCTACTCCCCAGGGGGAAAGCTGATGATGGGGAAGGCATAAGAGGGACAGGGCATTCAGATATCTCTGTATCTGCAACTCAACTTTGCTGTGAACTCCACAATGCTCTAAAAAATAAAGGCTATTAAAAAAAAGTCTGCCATGAACAACACATAACTCAGAAATGACTGAGCCAGAACTTAAGCCCAGTCTGGACTTGGCCACTAAGCCTCCTCGCTATCTGTTAGAAAATGAGCACATGGCTCCCTGGACAAAAGCACCGTTCACGGTCTGCAATAAAGGGCATTGCCTAAAAATCCTGTTATGCAAAAGACCTTCCACCTTCCTTGAAATCATTTTGGTTGCCTCTTTCAGGAGGATCATACAACACATGTCTATACTGACCAATTAAGGAAGCAGGACATGGCACTCACTTCCACTACATTTTTCTAACACACCCAGAGCTTAAGAGCGCACGACAGTGTTGGCCAGAACATTCACTGCTGATAGGTTCACACGGAGTCCTCACCAGGCCCCTGGGCCACATTACCTCTTTACCACAGCATAGCAAGAGAGGCCCTTCTATTCCCTAAGAAGCATGACTAGTATTTTTTAGAACAAGCAGCTAAGTAACTTAATCAGTGTAAGGGATCAGCAAAAAAAGCCGAACTTGCACTGTAAGGCAACGCCTTGAAGAGCTGACAAGGAACGGAGGTGGCCATATGGAGGGCGGGCAGGGCAGCCCCACGTGTGGGCACGTGCGCTGGTGGCACAGACACACCTCCTTCCCCGAGCACAGCCCCGCTGTCCACCAGAAGCCATCCTGGCCAGAACATCGGAGAAACTGCACTTGGCACTGGACACCCGGGGACAGGGTGCTCACAACTGGCTCACACACCACCCAGCACGTGCTTTGGGACGCTGCGTTACCGCCGTGGAGGCTTAAGC